AGAAAGAAAGAAAGAAAGAAAGAAAGAAAGAAAGAAAGAAAGAAAGAGAAAGAAAGGGAAGGGATGGAAAGGAAGGAAGGAAGGAAGGAAGGAAAGAGCAAGAGTGTGAAAAAGAAAAGGAAAGAGAGACTGAAGGAAGGAGAAAGGAAAGGAAAGAGAGTGAGAGAAAGGAAAGAAAGGAAAGGGATGGGAAGGGAAGGGAGGAAAGGAAGGAAGTCTGCGAAAGGAAAGGAAAGCGCGAGAGTCTGAAGGAAAGGAAGGAAAGGAGAAAGGAAAGGAAAGAAACGAATAATGAAAGCGTGAAAGAAGGGAAAGGGGAGGAAGGAAAGAAAGAACGTCTGCGAAAGGAAAGAAAAAGAGCGAAAGAGACTGAAAGAAGGAAAGAGAAGGAGGAAGGAAGGGGAAAAAAAAGAGCTGGAATCATAGAAAAAAGAGGGAGCGTCTGAAAGCGGGGAGGGGAGGGGAAGGAGGGAAGGAAAAAGAGTGGGGGGGGGGAAGGAAAGGAAGATCTTTGCCAGGAGATCCTGGCGCGCCCACCCTCCCCTCCTAAGGCGACACCGGCAGCCCGCCTGCCGATGGCCGCGAGGTCCGGAGAGGACGGGCAAACCAGCCCCCCCCCCCACACACACGTCCCCCCCCCCCCCGCCCCCCCCATAAGGGCCAACCCAAGGAAGTGAGCGCGTGGGGGGGGGAGCGGGAGGAGGTCTCCGCCGCACCTCCCTCCACCCCCACCACACACACACACACACCCGCGCGCGCCGGCTTCTGCGCGCTTGCCGCCGCCCCCCTTCCTCTTCCTCCCCAGGTGGTACTGCCTCCCGCGCCAGTCCTGCCTGGGCGGAGCCGGCCCGGGAGAGGCGGAGTTGGCGCTCAACAGCCGGCGCCGGTTACAAGCGAAGAGGGCTGGGAAAGCGAGCGGCCAACCCCCTCGAACCGCTGGGAAAGCGGTCCCGCCAACCCCCCCTCGTTGCGTCGCCGCGGGAGAAAGAAGGAAGGAAGGAAGACGCGCCGCCGCCGCCGCCGCCGCCTCTCGCCGATCCCGCCGCTCCGCCGAAGCCTCCTCGCCGCCCCCCCCCCCCCCCCCCCCCCGCGCCCCCGTCCCTCCCCCCCCCCCCCCCGCCCGCCCACCCGCCTTTGGGGGCAGCAGCGGCCGAACGAGGAGGAGACGGGCAGCCGAGCCGAGCCGGCTCGAGTGGCCGCGGGGATGAACAGCTCCGAGGAGGACGCAGGTGGGCGAGCCGGCGGGGCAGCCCTTCCTCCTCCTCCTCCTCCTCTTCCCCCGGGCAGCGGGGCCAGGGGCAGGACGGGCAGGGGCCGCTTTGCAAAGGGAGGGAGGGAGGGCCGAAGGCGCCGGGGTCTGGGGCGCGCCGGCTGCTTCCCCGATCTAACCTCCCCTTCTCTTTTTCAGGGGCGAGCCCCGTGCCCAGTCCGGGCTTCCCCGCCTTCGACGAGGTGAGTCCCCAGCGCGGCGACTCCAAGCCGGCCGGCCGGCGGGCCGGAGGGAGGGAGGGAGGGAGGAGGAGGAGGGCAGCGGCGGGGCAGCAGGGAGGAGAGAAACCGGGCGGGCGACGAGAGGGAGCCGCTCCATTTGCGGCCCGCTTTCTCCGACTCCGGGGTCGGGTGGGGGGAGTGATGGCCGAGGGTCTGGAGTGGCCCCATGGCGAGAGGAAACCCCCCCCACACACACCTCCGGTTGTTCCGGAGCGGGGCGGAGAGCCTGCTTCTCCCGGCGGGGGCGGCGCTCCCGGGTGTCTTTGGCGCGACGGCGGCTCCGCCCCAGCTCCGGAGCCCGAGCAGGAGGAGTTTGGCATTGGCCGTCCCGCGTTTTCTGACCCCGGGAGCTTTTTTTTTTTTCCCCCATCCTCCCTTCTTTCCCGCGCGGGGCCAGGGGGGGAAACTTGCGAGGAGAGACCCTCGGCTTGCTCCCTTCCCGGGGGCCGGCGGCGAAGCTCCACGCCTCCCGGCTCTTTTGCCCAGGACGGCGGCGGCGCCATCTTAAGCGCCGCCCGGGTGGTGGTGGTGGTGGTGGGGAGGACGACCATCCCGGCGTCCTTGGCTCGACTCGAGCCGGACCGGCGTCTTGAGGGGATTTTGCGGGGTTGTGTGTGTGTGAGAGAGAGAAAGTTCCGCTTGTCCCCTTTTGGGGGGAGGAGGGGACGACGAGGGTGTTTTGCGCCGGCTCCGCACGCTCAGCTTGATGATTTCCTTCAGGTTTTGTTGCGGCACGACTGGATGGCCTTTGGGGGTAGGGTTGTTTGCCCCTTCCTCTTTAGAGAATCCCCCTCCTCTTTGGAGGGGTGGAGGAAAACCTTGTCCCAGTTCCCCCCCCCCCTTTATGAGGAGGAATGGGACAAGGTTTTCTCCCCCCCCCACACACACACCCTGCCTCTACCCAGGTTTTGGTGTGGCTAATTAACAGATAATCAGAGTTGGAAGGAACCTTATAGGTCATCTAGTCCAACCCCACTGCCCAAGCGGGAGACCCTACTACACCATTTCTGACAAATGGCAGTCCAATCTTTTCTTGAAAGCTAATTCACCACCACCACCCTTCAAAAAAAGGAAAAGAAGGGAAAATTTCTAGGCTCTTGGCAGATCCTCCCCTTTAGTCTCAGGGTCACCCTTGTGGCTTTTATCTCCTTCCCTCTGTCCCTGAAAAGATGATTGATTGCAGTTGGGGCAGCGTCTGTTGCGAGGATCTTTTTCTCCTTTTCACATCTGGCCCATTCCTGGCCTTGGATCCATTTAGACCTTCTCTAAATGTAACCACCAGAGCCGCTCCGGGTGGCCGGAGCATAAATTTAAATTTAATAGATAAAAAGAACCTCGTGAGGAACATCACCCTTTTTCTTAGTATGGATGACAGAATAACAGAGTTGGAAGGTACCTTGGATGTCTTCTAGTCCAACCCGGTTTAGGCAGGAGACACTATACTATTTCAGACAAATTGTTGTCCAGTTTCTTCTTAAAAATTATTCTTACCTTTATGGTCAGAGTACAACAATGAGATTGGCCATCTACATTGCTGGAGCATTCACAACTTCTGGAGTCAAGCCATTCCACTGGTTAATTGTTCTACCTGTCAGGAAATTTCTCCTTAGTTCTAGGTTGCTTCTCCCCTTGCTTTAGTGTCCATCCATTCCTTATCCTGGCTTCAGGTGCTTTGGAGAATAGGTTATCCCACTCTTCTTTGTGACAACCTCACAAAGAAAAGTGGGATATATACAGCTCCGGCCTTCTGCCTATCAGTTCAAAAGCATGCAAATGTGAGTAGATAGATCTACCACTGCACTGGGAAGGTAGCAGAAAGCGCCTTTGTTGCATAGCCCATGTTGGCCACATGACCCTGGAAAATATCTTTGGACAATTCTGGCTCCTTTGGCCAAGAAACGGACATGACCATGACTAAGAGAGAAACATTTACCTCTTAAGAGTTCCTTAGGACATGGGGCAAGGAACGAAGGTTTAGGGTACCCACCCTGCCTCTTCCTCAAACTTTGGGGGCCGGAGCCATGGACCGGCTTTGCAGGGTTCATCAGTATTACTTATTAAATTGATATGCTGCCCATCTTGCTTATCGAGGACATATTGGATCAATTTGAGCCCAGACTTTTGCATAAAAAAAAAAAATGAGAGAGAGAGACTGTCCTGGCATGTTTCAAATTGAGGAGGGAGGATATTAAGAATTCAGCAATCTCCCTTGTTTTGGCTGGAATCTGATCTCCGGCTTTCCTTTGTCTGCAGGCAAGCCAACTTGTTTGCTTTGACTGCATGCCTTCGGGAAAACGTCTCCACACTTCCACACCATTATCATTGTTATTATCATCTTCCCCGCTAAATAGCAGGAGAGTTCCCTTCCCTGGAGAACCCCGGCTCTGAGATTTACTGCTGGAATTCACTCTCTCTTTCGTTTTGGAAAAGAGAAAAACCACAGGGCCAAACTGTCCTTTCTGTTGTGATAAGAGATTGGGTGGCCTACGCATTTTCTCCTTGTTTAGAATATCTTGGGAAAGCTAAATGTTCTAGTTGTTTAAAAAAAACAAAAACATTTTTTTCCCCCTTGTGTTATGTAACAGAAGCTGGTGGAAGTGACAGTATTTACTGAGGCAGAAAGCATATTTGGGCTATAAAAAGCTATAAAATGCCTTGTGGCCGTATTCCCCACATCATCTTTTAACCTGGTCTTTAAAATAATTGATTTTCCCTGTTTGTAAAAGTAGACAAGTGTTTCTCAACTTTGGCAACTTTAAGCTGGGTGGACTCCCAACTCCCAAGAATTCCCCAGCCAGCTTTCTGGGGGCACTGTAGTTTGGAGTGAGAGAGAATAAAGGAAGACACGACAGGTGTGGAAGTGTATAAAACCACACAAAGGTTAAGTATTGGACAAATAGGGTTCTTAGGATCAGAACTCAGTCATTGACAGATTCAGGACTGAGAAGCATTTTCCACCCGATGTGTAATTAAATATTGTTGCAAGTCATCCAGAGTCAGTTTTGGCAGATACGTATGTTAGAGAGATGATGGATGGATAGATTGATTGATTGACTGATTGCCAGCCAATTTGGATGGTTTGAGAAGGAACTAAAGGGCTATCAAGGTTGAGGACTGTGGACACCATCCTGCCTTTGGGGCAGAAGACTTGAAATATTTGCACCTGGGAAGCCACACCTGGAAGGAGCTGGTGAGCTTTCTAAAAGCACTCAGATGTCCACTAGATGATCCAGAAGGCCAGCCCAGATCCTTTGGGCCAGACCGGGTCCAGATTGTTGGTGCCATACCAGAATCTCCCACAGGAACCAAGCTTAGCCAGTGCTTGAGATGGCCTGACGTTGATTGTCAGTAACATTGAACAGGACAATCAATGGCCAGCCTCTGAGTGAGGGAGGTGCTTACATTTAGACATCAAGTAATCCATTTTGATTATAACCAAAGATATATTGGCAAGATGGTAGGTTTTTGGTATGGGTACAATGGGCAATGATTTATGGAACTGAATAGGATAGTTTAGGTTTTGTCAACTAACCTGCATTAACTGTATTCTCATGACATCCTCCTTGTCAGGGCAATGCCCTAGGAACTTTCTATTATTTAGGCTCAGCTAGTTTATTAACACTAAAAGGATCCAATAAAGAAGAATATTTGTAGCTCAGGGTTGAAATGAGGGCTCCTTGGTGCTCTCTGAACTTGGTTGTTTTCTTGCAGCGTTTTATTACCCCTAACAACATCAGTGCTGGTATGGAGTGCTGTTTGCTGTCAATTTATATTCTGCTGTTTTGCCTGTCTGTGTAGGTGGAGTGTGTGTGTGTGTGTGTGTGTGTGGAGGGGGGTATCTTTGAGATTCTTGGTTGGACTGTTTACTGATGGCACTTTCCTGACTGGGATACTGTTTACTTGGTTGTTGGTCTGAGTTCACCTATTGTAAAAGGATATTGAGATCCAGACTTGTAAATCTGTGTATCTTTGCAGCCACCCCAGAAAAGACAGAGAACTGTCGAAGACTTCAATCAATTTTGCACTTTCGTGCTCGCCTACGCAGGCTACATTCCCTACCCAAAGGAGGTAAGAAAAGTTGTTGGTTATGGAATCAAGCGCTTGGCCCTTTCCCTGCCTTCCTGGCCTGGGTACTGGGGTGTCCCCATTCTCTCCCGTCTGCAATAAGGCAAATCACAGGGCTTTCTCTCCATTTTTTCCTCACCTCGCCAGAATGAGCCATGGACCTACCGAGGCAACAGAAGCCCTCAGAACAGCACAGGGAGCACCCAAGACAGTGACAATTGGGGATCATCCCAGTCCTGTGACTCCCAAGTGCTCTCAGACGATGGTGGAAGCAGGAACACGGCCTACAAGGGGACAGGAGAGCTGCTGAACTGCCCCAACATCACCGGTAGCAGCTTTTGCACCGGTCGGCACCAGCCAACCAAGAAGAGAAAGCCGTCATCAAAGAAACTCAGTGTGAACCAAGCGACGGACAAGGGCTTGTTGATGGCCCTGAAGGACCAGACCCCGAGAACCACACCCGAGACTTGCACAGAAGAGAAGGAGCTGAAATCCTGTTTCCAAGAGCTCCCATCCAGACCTCTCCTGGAGCCAACAGAGAAAGACTGTATCCCTGGACTTTACACCGAAGAGAAGACGGAGGAACAAGGGACATGCAAAGAGGAAAGAACCAGCTCTGCCTCTTGGGACGTGGCGGAGCAAAGCACAGAAGAACCTGCAGGAGATGACCCTCAACTTAGCAGTAAGTCTGCAAGTACTGGTGCATTTAGAGGAAATTCAACAAGGGTGATTCCCCCCCCCCACCTTAACCAGATGCAGCAGCTAACCTTGATCCACCTAGCCCACAGCCCTTTAACACAGCCGTTCTCTAGTCTAGAGCAGTGTTTTCCAATCTCAGAAACTTTTAGATGTAGACTTCAACTCCCAGACTTCCCCGGCCAGCATAAAGCAGAATTCCCCCCAGCCACTTTAAGACTTGTGCACTTCGTTTTAAGTTTTAAATTAAGTAAACTATAGTTATCCCGTTAAAGTATGAGTCAATAAAATTATAGTCAAATGATTGTTTAATAATGATATCAGGCTATATAATTGTTGATTGACAATATGAGCTATTAGGTAATATAAGTACAATGGAGACTATGAAATGGATGCACACAAAAAAGTGGTAAACCAACCGATACACTGTCTGTAAATTCATGAAGGAAAGGATGATGTTTTTATGTTTTGTGTTTTTGTTTGTTGTTAAAATTAGTAAAACTGTTTTTTTTTTTTAAAAAAAAAGACTTGTGCACTTCAACTCCCACAGTTCTCCAGCCAGCATTCCGGGAGTTGAAATCCACAGGCCTTAAAGTTTAGCCAAGTTTGGAGAGCCCTGCTTTAAAGAGACAAGCCTTTGCATTAATACTATCGAGAACAGATTGTTTACTGCTCTGATGATAACGCAATGATTGCGAGATAACTGGGGGCTGAAGTGTGTCAAGGAGCAATCTTCCCCTAACCAAGAAATACAGTACACCCAAATAATGACCGCTAATTAGGACAACATATAACTTCAGTTTATACATTTTGAGACTAATGCTGCATGCCAGGAGCAGTGCACGCACCTCCATTGTAGAAATGGTTCTACACCAGCTCTTGTAGATCCTGCAATGATCAACCCTCATAAACACCTAGACAACCCACCCAAACGTTCCTTTTCTTTTGGATACTCACAGCTTCTCCAACTGTTTGAGTTTGCTCTGAACTTGCGACGCCCTGTTTGCGTTGTAGCGTGCATATGGCTGGAGAATTCTGGGACTTGAAGTCCACCCATTCAAAAGTTGCAGGATTGAGAATTTGCCTTAGAGAATCTGGTGGAAGTAACCTTAAAGTTGTGTCCTCCCTGGGAATGACCCAATTACTTTGAGGAGTGTCAAATGGTGTTATTTTCCCCATTGCCAGTGGACTTTGTGCATGCGGGGATTAGGCAACATTTTATCGTGTAACATCAGGAGCCAATAAGCTGCAAGAAGTTGGATGACTCTCTTGATTTAGAGTGGTCGGTTCCTTAACCAGATCAATTCAAGGCCTAGTGGCTGATTTATCCATTTTACATGGCCTGTGCTGTGCAAAGTGTGTCAATGAGCGACATAAATGTGGACACTCTTCTTTACACGATTTCTCTCTCCCTCTTGCAGATCTGCCTGAAGAGTTTACTGCAGCAGCCTCAGACACCAAAACAGACGGTAAGCTAAGGCCAGTTTTGCCAGCTGTCAGTAGGGGGAGCAAATGCATTTGGGTTGGGATTCTTCAATAAACCCAGAGAGCCACAATTCTCAATCTGGCAACTTTTATGACCATTGGGGTTCAGTTCCCAGAATGCTGGGCTGCTGGGGAATTCTAGGAATTGGGAAATGCTGCCATAGAGGCTCATTTACATGTATACATCCGAACTAGACTGTGTCGTTTCTCTATGTCATATATGTGGGTATAAAATAGAATATGGAATGGAATGGAATAGAATAGAATAGAATAGAATAGAATAGAATAGAATAGAATAGAATAGAATAGAATAGAATAGAATAGAATAGAATTCCTTATTAGCCAAGTGTGATTGGACACACAAGGAATTTGTCTTGGTGCAAATGCTCTCAGTGTACATTAAAGAAAAAATACATTCATCAAGAGTCAAGAATCATAAGGCATAACACTTAATGATAGTCATAGGGTACAGTAAGCAATCAAATCATATTAGGAAACAGTCAATATAAATCATAAGGATACAAGCGACAAAGTTATAGTTATACAGCCACAAGTGGGAGGGGATGGGCAATAAGGAGTGATGAGAAGATTAATAGTAATAGTAATGCAGACTTTGTAAATAGCCGGACAGTGTTGAGGTAATAATTTGTTTAGCAGAGTGATGGTTTTCGGGAAAAAACTGTCCTTGTGTCTAATTGTTTTGGTGTGCAATGCTCTATAGCATCGTTTTGAGGAAAGGAGTTGAAACAGTTTATGTCCGGGATGTGAAGGGTCTGTAAATATTTTCACAGCTCTCTTTTGGACTCGTGCAGCATACAGGTCCTTGATTGGAGGCAGGCTGGTAGTAATTGTTTTTTTTCTGCAGTCCTAATTACTCTCTGAAGTCTGTGTCTGTCCTGTTGGGTTGCAGAACCAAACCGGACAGTTATAGACGTGCAGATGACGGACTCAGTATATGTAATTTTGTATTATTTATTTTGTCATGTTCATGTAGTGTATATTTGAAGTAGTGATCCTTTGAGAGCTGTGTGCAACGAAATTTCGTTTCAATGCATGCCAATTAGTGTACGTTCAAAGTGACAATAAAGTTATTCTAAGTTCTATTCCATCACTACAGACACCGCATTTAAAGCATTTTGCATCAAGGAAGTGGGTTGAAAATGAAAGGAAGTTAAACAGCTAATTTTACAGCCATCTTTAAAGCCGGGGTTCCCAACCCCCAGTCTGCGGCCCAATACTGGGCTACAGAAGCAACGTGTGTGCACATGCAGCTCCACTTGCACGAGCAGCTTTTACCAATGGAGCGTGCACATGCTTGCTCGCTGTTTGCGTGGAACCATCCCTTCTCCGTCCCCTGCCAGTCTGCAAAGCCAGAAGGTTGGGCATCGCTGCTCTAAGGAGTCTTTAAGAAAAAATACCTTACTAATCACAATGTTAGATTGGGGTGTGCTGACTGAGACAAAACAAGGGTGCCGGTGATAAAACCTCTTTCCTTCCCCCCCACCCCCGTCCCCTCTTTTTACACAGAAGACGATGCTTGGGACCTTATCACTTGCTTCTGCTTAAAGCCCTTTGCCGGGCGACCCATGATCGAGTGCAACGAGTGCATGACTTGGATACACCTCTCCTGCGCCAAGATCCGCAAGTCCAACGTGCCCGAGGTCTTCATCTGCCAACGCTGCCGCGACGCCAAGCAAGAGATCCGCCGGTCCAACAGAGCCCGGACCGTCCCCCGCAAACGCTTCTGTGACTGACCGTAGCAGGGAGGGACGAAGGCTGGACTCCGCCCTCTGAAGCTTCAGTTTGGATTTATTTTTTTTATTTTGTATTTTTTTTTGCTGCCAAGACAATCAAAAATGCGGGAACTGTCCTTAGGGAAGAGACCGGAGGCAGCCCTGGAGAGACCTTTTGACACGCGTGTCTTAATTCCAAATGTTGAAATTGGGGGAAGAGGAAGACACTGGGGTGCTGTTGAGATCTCAGGGTTATGCTAAGAGCTGCAAATGCACAAACGCCTGGCAGAGACAAGAGACAAGTTGATGGGGGGCGCAGCGGGATTGCGGGGGGGGGGGGATTTATCTGCAGGCCATGCACTAAGTCAGCCAGTAGCCTCTCTGCCCTTACGCAGAGGTGCCTTTTTCTCAGCAGCAGCAGCAGCAGAGAGAGTGGGCCCAAGCAAGATTTTTTTTTCTGTGGTACGCCAGCTGCTCGGACTTTAAATGGGTCGGATGATGCACCCTCCGTTTTGTGGTTGGTTCTGCGCCCCTTAAGAACGGCGGGTCGGGGAGCTCCTCGACTCCTTTCCCGAAAGCACACTTCAAGGAGGAGGCGGGGCAGTCCCCTTCCCTCTTGTGCACAGACTCTCACACACCCCCGAGCTTAGAGAGGGCTCTTTTGCGGCCTATTTAGAGCGCGCTCTGTCCTATCCCCAGGACAGCAGGCACCCCCATTTCAGAGCCTCCCCGTCCTTTCAACGTTTGAGCGAGATGCTATGCTATATAGCTAAGCTAGTCCCTGTTGGACCAGGAAAAGGCGGGGGTGGTGGTGGTGGTGATAATATTCCCTGACTGTACATACTCGGTATGCAGAGGCTTAGAAAATATTTAGCTCTATCTACTCGACTCACTGGCCTAGCCTAGACTTCTGGTTGCACTACTGCCTTTATTCCAAGGGAACATGGGACTGCCTGGGGGGGGGGGAGGGAAACGGGACCGCTAATAGCTGTAGAGCCTTTTGGGGAGCTAAAAGGGGAGACGTCTTCCTCCCCCCACCAAGGTTGGATGGATGGTGAGGCACCTGGCAGAAGCAGATTGGGTCCTGCTTGCCTCCGGGCTGCTCTTGGGAGAGCAATCTGGGGATTTCTTCTTAAAAAAAAAAAAAAGAGAGAGGGAGATCGATCTGTGTACTATGCAAACTAGGTTGTTCCTGGGGAAAATGATACCAGCAAGCAAAAACGCTTGCTTGCTCGGAGACTGTGTCTTGTCACTCCTTCCCGGCTCAGCTGAGACTCTTCCGGTTTGACCCATGTGCCTTCTTTCTTCTCATCTCATCCTTCAGCCCCGCGCGTCCATCTGAAATCTCTACCCGGATGGCACACACGAGAATATTCCGCAGTCGTTTTTTTTTGTCCACGTGGGTTTTGCCCAGTTTGGGACGGGCTACACCTGGCCACTGCTTAATGAAAGAGCAAAAAAATAATAATGCGCCACCTGATTTACGATCCCACCTGTACCTCTGCTTCCCTTGAGTGTTTACATTTTTACGGTTAGTCTCTATAAAAATGTAAGGTAGCACAGTACAACGCTGTATACTGGGTATATACTGAGTGATACGTATAGATTAAAATACTTTTAAAGCCACGCTTTGTGCTTCGTTTCAGCGCAGATCAAAGCACTGCTTTTATCATCAGGCCACATTTGCACACCCCTTGTCCCAATTTTTTTTCAGTTTGCCTGATATTCTCTCCCTAGTTTAAATGGAACACTCTCATGTTTCACAATTTAAGTTTTCTCTTACTTGCTGCTCCATAGGTAGTCCTCAATTTCTGCCTGTTCAGTTAGCAACCAGTTACAATAGCCGCCTGCCTCAATACTGTGACCTGGATCTGATGCTCTCTCCTGCAGTTGCATGAACACATTTCAGGCACTGGGCAACTGCCCTGCATTGGTGTCACATGCACACACAATTTAGGCTGTTTATTTTTTGGGGGGGGGGGGGTGCAGAAAATTAGCATTTGCTTCCAGTTCCCAGCAAATACAAACTGGCCCACAGCAAACAATGGGGTTTGCATGAGCGCTGCAAGAAAAGGCCATAAAATCAGGTCAGTAGCATGAGCAACCCGCTTCACAACTTTCAGGATTGTAACCGCCAGGCTCAATTAAGGACAATGTAAGGTCGTGTGATTGAAAGCGAAGTTGGAAATTAGGATGCTATACTCCAGGCTACTTCTGCCGGCTGCCTGCAATTTGGTAGTTCAAATCCCACCAGGCTCCAGGTTGACTCAGTCTTCCATCCTTCCGAGGTGGGTAAAATGAGGACCCAAATTTGTTAGGGGCAAGAGGGCGGCTCTGTGAACTGCTTAGAGGGGTCTGTAAAAGCATTGAAGCAGCATATAAGTATTATTGCTATTAATCCATTTAAATAAGCTTTAAAGACAGGTTTGGAATCTCAGGCTCCACAGTTCAGCCTTAGGGTTGAAAATTTTCCAGTCATCCCAAGATCTCTTTATCAGAAAGGCACAGGATGAATGAAATTAGAATACTGTTAGCCACAATATGTAGTAAAGAGAAGTATAATGAATGAGGCATTTATACCCTATTTTCGCAATTATAAAAGACCACAGGACAACATCCAGCATAGATTTTTTATTTTTATTTTCATAACTAGAGGCAAACAAAGAATTCTTTTTTAATGCGTCCCCAAGAAAAATATCACAAGACTTCTTTTTAAAAAGGCAGTTACAATCCAACACCACCCAAATTGCATTTTTAATTACAGTTTTTTTAAGCACGTCTTTTCAACATCTCAGTTGCAATTCCCTCAAAATGTATCTTTTTTAAATGTTACTTCCTTCCACGCAACTTGTGGCCTTCCATTATCATCACACTGGATATTTCTTGGACAACGCAGGTTCCGCGATATACTGGCAACCGTAGGTTAGCCGAGGACAATTTAGCCGTGCCGTGGATTGAAACAGTAAAAGTATTCCGTTGTAAGCATATCATGTATTCCAGGTCCTTTTAGTGTACCTGGTAATAAGGTAACTGTATCTCGAGCAAAAGGCTATTTTCATTTCTGAGAACGTCTCGATGGAAGATACCTGGAAACTGATCTGGAAATGTGAAAGCAGCAAATCCAGAATGTCTTCGTTTTTTAAAACTACCCATTTTGCCTGGTAAAAAAAAGGGAATAACCAACGATGTTCGCGATCTTCAGGAGAAAAACGGGAGTTGCTCTAAACGTTGGTCTGTTCTGATAGCAGGCTGAGGGCACTTCACACGTTCCCAGGAGGAATGCAGCTTTCGAAAATGTTAACTGAAAGACAGAGAGAAAGAGGGAGGGAGAGACAGAGAGGCCAGCTATACTCTAGGCCAGGGGTCTCCAACCCTGGCAACTTTAAGACTTGTGGGCTTCAAAGCAAAGCTGGCTGAGGAACTCTTAAGAGTTGAAGCCCACAAGTCTTAAAGTTGCCAAGGTTGGAGACCCCTGCTCTAGGCCGATGTTTCTCCATCTTGGCTTTAAGATGGTGTAGATAGACTTCAACTCCCAGAATTCTCTAGCCGCCTAGGGAATTCTGAGAGTTGAAGTCCACACCTGAAAAATCGCCCAGGTTGAGAAGCCCTGCTGCTCCAGGCCGCTGCACCGAATTTACAAAGCTGCCTTCGGACACAAGAGCTCATTCTGTCCACTCGGAGAAAGAAAGGAGAACGGGGTTAACAGGTGGAAGGCACATCTTCTGAAGAAAAAAAAAAAAAGAGAAGAAAAAAATATCTCAAACTTCCCACAGCTTCACTCTTCATTGGCCCAGACAGCAGAAAGGTTCTTCTCTTCCAGATAAGGGACCACGGCATCCGTGTAGAACTTCTCCAGTTTGGGGACCGTTTGCTTCCAGAAAACCGGGTCGAAATCCACCGGGGCAATTGCGGTTTCTTTGTTGGTGTGAACGACAAAATCAGTTTTGTCCAAGCCGGAAACTCCCATCTGGCACTGAACCTGGGTATAATAGGGATGCGTTTTCTTCAACGAGTAGGAACTGCCTTCCTTTTCCAGGCAGAAGGTATTGTCTCGGCACGCTTCGGCCACCGTCTTATTTCTGTGTTTGTAAGGGCACTTCACCTCCAAGAGACGAAGATCCTTGCCGGTGTTCGCATCTTGGACAATGCCATCGGGGCTGCCAGCCAGCCAGGGTTTGTCTTTGTCAACGAAGAGGCCGCAGTCTTTCACCTTCACTGGCTTCTTGGCCGTGCTGGACTTGAGGGCTTCGTAAGCTTGCACTGCCTTCTTCTCGTTGCGGATTCCCCAATTCATGGCCGGGGTATGAACCTTGGAGCCTGATCTCACCACCTCCTTCAGGTACGACTGAGGCACTTCCGAGGTCCGGCCGTTCACAAACTTGCTGTTGGAGATCCTGGGAGCGATGGAGGCCGTGATGCGGTTCTCGCGCCACTTGTGCCATTCGGGGTTCCTCCACTGGCCCCGGGTTTCCCTCTCGACCTCAGCCACTTTTTCAGAGGAGAGGGGTGCAGGAGGCAAACCCTTTGCTTTGCCTTGGGCTTTGCTCGCGGCATCGGAAGTAGCAGGAGGATTGACTCCACCCGACGCCGCGGGGCTCTTGACTGCTCCTCCATCGCTCTTCCTTGGACCTCCACGTCGGCCATCAGAAGCCGTCGCAGGCCTGGGCTGGGCGCTCTCCCCTGCTCCTCTAGGCTTTCTGGAATAGGAAGCCTTCTCTGGGGCTGTCCCTCTGCCGCTCCCACTCTTAGGAACCGTAGCCGTTGGTTTTGCACTGGTCGCAGGGACGGTCCTGGAGGTGGCCAATGACCGAGGAGCTCCCGGACCTGCCTTGGGGGCTTTAGCAGCTGGGCGGGGAGATGCAGCAGAGTCAGAGGTTTTCCTAGGTCTCCCCATTTTTCAAAGTCTTGTTCTGCAAATATCAGAAGAGAAGAGAGAGAAGAGGAGAGTTTATGACACACGCAGAGACACCTAGGAAATCATTTCCTAATATTCCTGCTCCGTGAGTTGTTTGCATCTTCTGCCTTTTATCTATCAATGGTTGAAAAGACCAAAAGAACCCACCCCTCCACCCCCAAAATCATCCACAGATAAATCTTGCAAAGTACAAGTAGTCCTCGACTTACAACAGTTCGCTTAGTGATGGTTCAAAGTTTCAACAGCAGAACTGAAAAAAAGTGACTTATGATAACTTTTTCAGCTACATTTCCGGGATCCCCACAATCATGTGATCAAAATTCAGAAACCTGGCAACCGGTTCATGTTTATGACCGTTGCTGTGTCCTGAGGTCATGGGATCATAGAACAACAGAGTTGGAAGGTACCTTGAGGGTCATCTAGTCCGGCCCCCTGCTCGAGCAGGAGAGTCTATTCCGAATGATTAGCCTCTATCTAGGCTTGAACTCGCAGCCTCCTGATTGTGAGGCAAGGGCTCTACCTCTAGGCCACCGGAGCTGCCTCATGTCATGGGGGAAGCCGGATTCACTCTAACAACCGGCTCACCAACTTATCAACTGCAGGGATTCCCTTAACAACCGAGGCAAGGAAGGTTGTCCCATGAGGCGAAATTCACAAAAATACACCTCACTTCACCACAGAAACGTTGGGCTCCATGGTGGTCATTAAAGTCGAGGACTACCTGGGCAAGAGATGGGAATGGCAGAGCTGCCTCCTCACGCGCTCTCTTTCCTTTGCCTCCCTGGGGGAGAGGCGGGAGGAAAACGGATTGGGGAGGGTGAGGAGAACTCTACTATTCACCATGGCGGCCAGAGATAAGACTTCAAGGACAGCCAGTTATGACAGAACGCAGCTGCATACCAAGGACAACCATTCCCAAAACATCTGGTTTCAATGTGATTGGACAAATGTGGAAGGAGGGGGGGTGGAGGGGGTAAAGACTCTTGGGAGGGAGGAAATTACACTTGGGGAATTTGGCACCCCAAACTTCAGATCTGGCTTTGCTTTGCTGTCCTTCACTTGACCCAAAGAGGCCGCTGGACTTTCTGCATTTGTTTTTTGAAGACCTTTCGCTTCTCATCCACGAAGCTTCTTCAGCTCTGACTGGATGGTGGGGAATGGAAGGGTGTATACTCCTTGCAGAGTTATTATATTCCTTGCAAATGACCAGCTGTCTGCAAGGGATAGAAATCCTTCCATTCCTCACCATCCAGTCAGAGCTGAGGAAGCAAAAGGTCTTCAAAGCCAGTTACCTCTTGGAAAAACAAAACACCTTTGGGACAACCATGATCTAGATCAGGGGGTCTCCAACCTTAGCAACTTTAAGACTTGTGGACTTCAACTCCCAGAATTCCTCAGCCACAAATCTTAAAGTTGCCAAAGTGTTGGAGACCCCTGATCTAAACCACCCTAGAAGCCTTTTTCAACCAACCAGCAAGCCTACAGGATTTTAAATGAGATTGTATACATGCTGCTAATTGCACACACAAGCAAATTGGGAAGAGGTG